TATAACTTCGTTACGACTCAGACTCGCGATTACACACAACCACAACTTTCACAACATCATACAAATCATCAACCATATGATTTCAACAACAACAATTGCATCATGTATCATTCTAGCAACAATTACAGTAGCAACATCAATACATATCATGCAATTCATCAACAAGTTCATAATTCACACAATAAACCATTCAACAAGAACATGGATTGAGAAGAAAACACAAATCTTGCATGTTATAATCTACCCACCATTCATCATAATCCCTCTTAGATAATTAGAACTCCACCATTACCTTAGAGTTCTTGTAACAAATCTCCTTCTTCCTCAACAATGGTGATCTTCTATCTTCTCCCTTTTCCCTAGCTTTCTTCTTTCTATTTTCTCCAAAGTTCACATACTGACTATCTTTTTATCCTACTTCTCTTATTATTATTTTGGCTTAATTGCAACTCTAGTCCCCCTATTTTGCATTTTTTTGGGTTTTGATCCCTCCATTTTAAAAACCACCATTTTGGTCCCTTTTTTAAATTTTGAGTTTGATTTTAGTCCCATCTCCAATTTGAGACATTTTTTTTAATGATGTGGCGCCATCCAAGATGACGTGGCAATGCCAAGTCATTTTAAAATTAATTTGAGACTTTAATTATTGATTAGGATAATTAATTTATTAATATTATTTTCATTAATAAATAAATAAATTTTTAATTTTTAATTATTAATTTTTATATTTAATTAATTAATCAAAATTTTATATGAAACACTTTGGGCCTAACCTTTTAGTTTCATGTCTTTGGTCCATTTGTTTAACACACAATTGATTTGTTGTGCTTGTGTAAGATATATAAACACTAACAACATTTGTAATGAAAATAATGTGGGACTTTAGTGGGTTGGTGACTTTGTAAGCTAAATAATTGAAACTATCACTTCTTGCTTCTTTTTTTTACAGCTCTTCTAACAATTGCTTCAGCAGATGGGCATGTTTTCTTATAGAAACCAAACTCCAAAGATGAAGATGATGCCGACATTGACACTGAGAGAATGAATATAAGCAAGGTAAAGATCAATAATGCATGGGTTCTAGCCATTGTTATCTTTGAATATCAATATTGTTGTAATGTGTATTTTTGTATCTACAAATCTGTTAATTAATTAGTGCCAGTGTAGAGATGAAGGAAGGGATATATGTTGTTGAATGGAAATTAATGTTGAGATGGAGAACATATATGTCTCTTGATGAGTATATATATAGGGGGATGAGATGAAAGTAGGTCTTACTTTGGAACAAAAACGTAGTGTTTGACTGTAGCCTTGAATATTTTATAAAAAAGTTGAAGCAATCTACTTTTGAATACTTCTTATGGTTTTGGAGGCTTTATATGCTCAATTATATGGCCTGGTCGTAGTGTATATATCATATATCTATTGAATATTACGGGAAAGCACGGTGATCATTAATTTTGCATGGATTCTAACCATTGTTATTCTGTGTTATATATGCTTAATTAATGTAGTATGTAATGTATTTTTGTTTTCAGTAATAATGATGTGGTAATTAAGTAGTGTGAGTGTGAGTAGAGAGATGAAGGAAGAGATATATGTTGTTGGATGGTGATTAATGTTGAGATGGATAACATATATGGCTCTCATGAGTATATATATAAATGAAGGGGATAGGAGGTCTTACTTTGGAAACAAAAACGTGTGTTTAGTTGTAACCTTCAATACATTTGACAGAAGTTGAAGCAATCCACTTTTGAAAACTTCTTCTGGTTTTGAAGGCTATGTTAAATTAGTTGAAAATATATAAAGAAACAATCCAAGTTCTCCAATATGATAAATGAACTCTAGCTGAAAACTATTATAGAGAAGATGTATTTTGTACAATATTATTGGAAGAAAAAAGAAGCAGGAAAGTGATAGTTTCAATTATTTAGCTTACAAAGTCACCAATCCACTAAAGTCCCACATTGTTTTCATTACAAATGTTGTTAGTGTTTATATATCTTACACAAACACAACAAATCAATTGTGTGTTAAACAAATTGACCAAAGACATGAAACTAAAAGGTTAGACCCAAAGTGTTTCATATAAAATTTTGATTAATTAATTAAATATAAAAATTAATAATAAAAAGTTAATAATTTATTTATTAATGAAAATAATATTAATAAATTAATTATCCTAATCAATAATTAAAATCTCAAATTAATTTTAAAATGATTTGGCATTGCCACGTCATCTTGGATGGTGCCACATCATTAAAAAAATGTCTCAAATTAGATAGGGGACTAAAATCAAACTCAAAACTTTAAAAAGGGACTAAAATAGTGGTTCTAAAATCAAACTCAAAACTTTAAAAAGGGACTAAAATAGTGGTTTTTAAAATGGAGGGATCAAAATCCAAAAAAATGCAAAATAGGGGGCCCATAATTGCAATTAAGCCTATTATTTTATATTATTATTACTAATTCCCAACTAATTAAATAATAATAATAATAATAATAATAATAATAATAATAATAATAATAATAATTTAATCCAATTAATATTCACTTCTAATTAAATGATTACTAACCAATATTACTAATCATATTTACTCTCCACACCACTCATCTCTACACAATTTCTCACACACCCTCAACACCTTAAACTCTAGTATTCAAGGCCACCTCTCCCAAAGGGTATTTACAACTACTACAAAGCACACAAAATCACATACACATACACAACATCTTTTAATTTAATTATGAAAATAATTAAAATAAATCGGAGCGTTACACTTTGTGTTTTTGTAATGATATTGCCACCCCGAATCCTAACGCTAGAATCCTTATATATATATATATATATTAATACATAAATAACTGCTTACAACAACTCTATGTCTAACAATCGACACATATCTAGTTGCATGGTTTCCAGCCTTCTAGCTTGCTTTCATGTGTCTTCGATGCATGGATAAGACCAAAAGATAGTTACACAATCTGATCTTATTGTTTCGCTTTAGCTGTCATTGTCGACCAGCAATCCTCGTCGAATTCCTAAGAAAATAATATTAGAAAACATGTTAAGTTCCAAACTTCAGGTTTAAAATAATTGCTTCAATGCCCTTGACTAAGCATCCCTCTTGTTGAAATGCTATAACACATCATCATTTTATCAAGTCTTTTCTAAATCCCTTTTCCTTTTGCCAAGTTTAGTGATGTCGAAATTCCATGCCAATAAATTGCCCCCCAAAAATTCCACTTTCGACCAATTGTAGGTCAGTTACTTCTTTCATTATATCACTTATATTCTCTACGCTTAGTTATCTTTATTTTTGAAGGAGTTCGTGACCTTCTCAAGGTATCTTTAAGGATTCCTTAAGACCTAGGGCGTGCTCTCTTCATATTCTACAACTAAGTGGTTACTCATTTTAAGTAGTTATGTATAGGAAGGTTTGATACTTGGAACAATGTCTTCCTTGTAGGGTGCCCTTAAGCATATTTTACCATCTTTGTCAGAAGATGATTCTTAAATTTTTGTTAGTAACACAGTTTCTAGCAAACTTTCCAATACTTGTATAATTTAGAAAAAGCATCCATGAGTATTTGCCTCGTGTGTTCATCTTCTCTTGTTTGATACCTCCAGAACTCCATACATTGTTTAAGAGTATCTCACATTTCCTTGGTGGTTTTGCAAAGACGAACAAAGTTTAAAAACATAAATCTTTTGGTTTTGAGAAATATTCCAAAATTTCTCATTTCCTTTTTGGTCCAAAGAAAAGTGAGTTTATCTACTATTTCACCATTTACTTGATGAACAATGATAAACAGACCTTTTGACAATAATTTCCCTTAACTCACATTTTATGTTTTAAAGAGAAACTCTAACCTAGCTTGCAAAAAGATAAATTTTCTATTTTTCATAGAGTGGTGGTGTTGTTAAAACATTTATTGTCAGAAGTCATTTTCCTCCTGAGAGAATTAGTCCTAAGGCAAGAGTTAAGATATATTGTCACTTGTTGGACTTGAGACTTCACACACAAGAGAGGGGGTGAATTGTGTGATTTGGAAAATTTTAGTTTTGAAAACTTCAGGTACATAAAATTAGAGTTTAAAAATATTTGAAAAACTAAGCAGCGAAAAATAAAATATAAAAAATAAATTGCGAAAATAAAAGGAGTTAAGGGAAATGAGAAACACCAAGAGTTTTAGAGGTTTAGTCAAAACAAAAGGACGAATTCCTCTCCCTAAGAATTTATATTGAGAGTTTCCATTAAACATTAAGAGGTTTTAATAGGAAAGACTCATGAACCCCCTTATATAATAAAATGGTGATTGATCTTCAATCACAATATTGTTAAGTGCAAATTTTGACTTAAATTGAACCATCTTTCTTGGTATTTTTCAACCAATTTCTCATGTTTTAATGAATTTATTTTTTGTCCTTGTGTGATTCTTCAAAATATAGAAAATACCTTTAGATTCTTTGATGTGTATGTTGTTATGTAGATATAGACATAAAACACCAATGATTAAGACACAAATGATTGGACAAGGAAGCCAAAGAAATGAAGAAGAATCAACATGTTTGTTGTGCGGACACCAGCAAGGTGAAAGCAAATTCTCATTGTGCAAGGTCCTGGAAAATCTCTAACGAACTATCCCAGATTAGAGGCAGTAGGAAAAGGGTCTAAAGTTTGTCGGGCAAAGTTGAAGCGAAGAGGTCCACTGTGTGAAGAAATGTTTGTACAACGAACTTAGATATTTTCCAAGGGTGGTTTAACTGTTTCTGAGGCACTTTGAGTGCCCAAAAGTACTCTTCGCTGGGCAAAGAAGGTGTTTTCTAGGAGATACAGACAAATTTTGTAAATAATTTTTAAGTACTTTTCTCACTTTTTAGAAAATAACTTATTTTTTTCAACATCATAACTTTATCTCTCTTCATTCCAATCATAAGTCACATCCACCCCTAATGCATCACCAACCATATCATCTATGAGATTAAATTGTTCCTAGTCTTGCAAATGTGATTGACTGCTTAATGTCTCTGTACCTATCTCAACTCCAATATGTGTTTGACTGCTTGAAGCCTCTCTATTCATCTCTGGAAGTATTTCTCCATTAGAATACCACACCCAATAATTTGGCCTAAAACCATCTTTCTCCAAGTGGCGTTTCACTTTATTTGGATCACTAATTATACTTCTGCAACCACACTTGAAACACGGGTATCTTACCCCTTCTTCGCTTCGACAGTATTCTTGAGCAAACACATAAGTAAGAAACACAACAACTCCTTCTTTAAAATGTTGTTTAAGCCCACGTCTTCCTAGATACGTTCTATCATACATCCAACTATGATAGAATTGATATACTCTATACTGCACATGTGTAATGTTGCTCATGTTTAAATTTAAATTTAAGAAAAGGAAAATTGATCTACCTACAAACATATGTCTATTTACCTAACTAATATATCATATAAATCTAAGATATACTTTTTTCTCTAAAAAAAAACTATATTTTTTAATACATATGTTTAATACATTATTAATATCTTTTATATAAACTAACTTACAAATTATATATTTTTAATAAATATATTACCAAAATATATAACATACTTTATACATAAAAAATGTTATATATTATGTTTCTACAAATTTACATGCTTTATAACATATTTTAACTAACAAATTATAAATTCATATGTTTCTACAAATATTATATAATATGTTATTAAAGGATAAAACATTTTACAACTTTACAAATTATAACATATTTTTACAAATTTACATACTTTTTACAACAATATTATGTTTCTTATAAATATATTACTAAATTATATTAATATTTTAAAAAATAAATACTTTTTAAATAGAAATATATATATATATATATATATATATATATATATATATATATATATATATATATATATATATATATATATATATATATATATATATATATATATATATATATATATATATATATATATATATATATATTACAAATTATATACTGTTCCGGGCTGGACCCAGGCTTGACCAAGCAGGCCCAGCCCAGCGATATATGGGGAAGGCCCAAACAGACCCATATCGCCAATGTTGAGCACAAAGGCTCCCGTCGACCAGACACTGCCGTGCCGGGCAGAACATCCCCTCCGTCGGGAAGAACAACATGTCCTCCACACGTTCTCCACGTGCCCCACTTTTTCACTAGAGGGTCAGGTACTCTCTTGTTAACCTTCCTTCTGCATTTGCTCCACTCTAGTCCATTTCTCACTTTGGCATCAGAGTGTCTTGCAGGTACACCCTGTAAGAACAGAGTATGCCTAAGAGGGGGGGGGGGGGTGAATTAAGACTTTAGAACTTTTTCCGGTTTTTTATGATTCTTGAAATTTTACTGGTTGGTGTTCTTGGTTATGAAAGCAGTAAACAAAGAGAAAGTGGACACAGGATTTATAGTGGTTCCCCTTACAATCCGAGAGTACTCCACTCCCCTTTCAACATGAAAGAGAGTTTTCACTATTGTTTAAAACAGTACAACCTATCACACCATCAACCGGTGAGGCCTACTATCAAACAATAAACAAACACAAGTGTACAAGAACAATCCTCTTGTAAACACCCACCCTTGTGTCCAACAATCCTGGATCACAAGTCAGAATACAAATACTTGTAATGATTTTGGTTTGTGAATAATAATATCAAAATTGATCTTCTCCAAATGATCAAAATTCACTCTTATAATTTTCAACACAAGTGTTCAACAGATGAATATGAAATTTTATGCAAGTATGAACACTTTTGAATGTATTTGAAAAAGATGAATTTGATTCTAAGAATATTTGAAAATGAATATTGGAGGTGTTTTTCAAAACTGAAAAACTCAAATTTTATATGTGTAAAATACCCTTTCAAAAAGGTATATTTGAGTAGACTTCAAAATATGAAATGGTATAATTTTCAAACAATTTTTGAACTTGAAACAAAGTCATTTTTCACTGTACGTTCAGTGTTAATCGGTTAACCTATATGGTTAATCGGTTAACACTGGAACGTTAGCCCAGAATATTTAAAATTTGAAATGGTTAACCGGTTAACCTATATGGTTAATCGGTTAACACTGCTATTTTTTCAGAAAAATGCTTTTAAAATAATGTTATACCAATTCTAAAGTTTCAAAAAACATGCTTATGTATTATGCTAAAATGCTTGATGTTTTTTGAACACTTGTATATCAAATTATAAGGGTAGAATTTGATATACCCGCAATATGTCAAAGTCTTGAAGAATCACAATTCCATATGTAGCTTGTTTTGAAAGATAGCTTGACTTGATCTTGATAACTTTGAAAGACTTGTCTTTTTGCAACCAAGAGATGAACTTGAGTAGTGTTGACATCATCAAAACTTGAGATTGGAGCATGCTTCTACATTCTCCCCCTTTTTGATGATGGGAATCAAAAAGTGTTGTGCGATATCGTTTGGTTCTTGATATGTTTCTCCCCCTATGTCTAGCAACTCCCCCTATCTTAATAGAGAAAAAAATAATCTGCACACAGAGAGACATTAACAGAACCAAGCTCTTCTCCCCCTTTGACATCAGCAAAAAGGAAGAGCTTTCAAAGGAAACACATAACATATATAGCAGCATATAGTAGTATGCACATGCAGAGCCAAGTAAACACATAGCATAACAAGTAGTACATATAAAATGCAGCAAATAGAAATTGTACTTGTTACAAAGAAATAAACCATAGTTCAAATGGAAATGGAAATATAAAATTTAAACTAGAAAGCAAAGCAATAAAACAGCAGCAGCGGCATATTTTCTCAATGATCCTCATCCGACATATCCGCATCATCCTCTTCTCCTCCTTCTTCATCACTATCCTCTTCGTCAATTTCTTCATCCACAACTCGGGTGTTAGAATGTGAAGGGTTAAGCATGAGGCTTCGAAGGGAGGCAATGGATCTAGAAGTCTCTCTATGCATGTTCATCGATTCTCGATGCTGATTCATCATGGTGGTATAGAGAAATTCATTTGAAATACCCCCTTCCGGAATTGGATAAGCTTGTTGTGCAAGACCATCATCAGCATACCTGTAGGCACCGTCAGCCGCCTTGATGATACTAGTATTCTTCACAATGTTAATTTCATTTATCTCATTAGTTGTAGGTTTCATTTTGAATGACGGTTCCCTGTTGAGGTCTAGTTCGGTTAATACCAGAATCCGCGAAACCAAACGAGCATACGACAGCCGGGTAATGCAATGAAGCTGTTGCTGCAGATGATACATAATAGTCAAAATCCAATTGACCTTGATACGATTCTTAATTGCAAAGAGCAGCTGCATCTCCAAGTCGTTGATCTGAGAGTGGTTGGAGTCCTTTGGAATGAGGACATAGCAGATAATATAGTGAAGCATGCGATCAGATACCGTCAGATTCTTGGCATAACACAACATACGAGCCGTGCGAGAATTTGCAATAACTACCTCTTTCGGAAACCTGCAAATCTGATAGTAGTATTCCATCTTATCATAATGTGCCCAAGGGCCATCAACATGATTAACACCCTTCCGCAGGAAACAGCCTCTAGAAGGAATTTTAAGTTCTCTAGCCAAAGTAAATAGTTTCTCAACAAACTCATGGTCTCTAATGGTAGAACTGACCATTTGGTTCTCATCAATATCCAAAAACACAGTCAACTTGTGCATAAATGCTTTAACAAGATCGGGATAGATAATACCAGAGTCGGTGACAAATTTGTCAATGTGTTGATATTCCAGTAGAGCAGGAAAATCAAAAGATGTTGCAGGAAAGGCTCGGAGATTGACGTACTTGACCGGCAGCAACTGACGAACACGAACCTTAAAATCCATTCTTCGCTTCTTGGTGGTTTACATTGGAACACTAGGGTTTAGGGTTTAGGGTTTAGGGTTTAGGAGAGGTTTTGGAGAAGTTAGGGTTTGAGTTTGTGAGGAGAGAGTGAGAGAGAGAGATGGTAGTTTATATGAGAGGGATAATGTTTTAGGGTTTGAGAGTAGTGGGGTTGAATTCCAAATAGTCCAAGAGTGGGTCAAAAGAAGTTGAAGAGTTTGAGGGATATGAGTTTGGTCATGTAGAGAATATATGCCATCAAATAAAATAAATAAAACATTACATATTTTTCAAAATTGGTTTTAATTTTCGTATTCTGATTTTTGACTGTTATACCAGTGTTAATCGGTTAACCGTATGGGTTAATCGGTTAACACACTGAAAATTAAATTTTTAAATTAAAAAGCTTCAGTGTTAATCGGTTAACCACATAGGTTAATCGATTAACACTTCAAAAAATTCAATCAGAAGGCAAAAATTAACAGTGTTAATCGGTTAACCCTATGGGTTAATCGGTTAACACAGGCGAAATTTTGAAAAACAGTGAAAAACAGAATGCAAACATGATAAACACATAAAAGAGTTATGCATACATGAAAATATAGAGAAAGTCAGATGTCACCTTCATCAAGAATCCCAAGTTCTCTCCGAATTTTGTAGAATGGTTCTTTCGCCAAAGGCTTGGTAAAGATGTCGACGAGTTGATTGTGCGTGTCGACGAAAGTAACATCGACATCTCCGTTCATTACGTGATCTCGAAGGAAGTGATGCCGAATATCGATATGCTTTGTTCTGGAATGCATCACCGGATTCTTCGTTATATTTATGGCGCTAGTATTGTCACATCATAGAGGAATGCATCCGAGGTCAACACCGTAATCCAGAAGTTGTTGTTTCAGCCATAAAATTTGTGCACAGTAACTTCCTGCGACAATGTATTCTGCTTCGGCGGTCCTGAGTGCTACACAAGCTCGCTTCTTGCAGACCCATGATACTAGAGCATTTCCGAGAATGTGACATGTACCACTTGTACTTTTTCTATCGGTTTTACATCCTGCATAGTCAGCGTCAGAATAACCAACTAAAGAACAAGTACTACCTTTAGGATACCATAATCCGACGTTTGTCGTTCCTTTGAGATACTTGATAATTCTCTTCACAACAGTGAGATGCGATTCCTTCGGATTTGCTTGGAAGCGCGCACACAAACAAACACTAAACATAATGTCAGGACGGCTTGCCATCAAATATAGTAATGAACCAATCATACCTCGATATTTAGTAATATCAATTGAAGTACCAGATTCATCTTGATCAACATACGTTCCGGATCCCATAGGAGTAGACATCATCTTGCAACTATCCATATCGAATTTATTTATTAATTCCTTACAATACTTGGATTGGTTGAGGAAGATTCCATCCTTGGTTTTCTTGATTTATAGTCCAAGAAAATAATT